TGGTCATTGAGGCCCTCAAGCAAACGGCGGGGATGCAGGATCAGTCTTTTTTTTTTTCTTTGCATCATTTGTTCTCAAACTTTAAAGTGTGTCAGAATCATCTTGAATTTGCTTAAACACAATATCCAAATCCCCTTCTCCACTGATTCTCATTCAGTGTGTCGGGCCCATGAATTAGCTTTTCCCACAAGCTCACAGGTGATGCCAACACTTCTGGCCAGAGGCGCTCCCTATTAAGCTGGTGGTCAGGCCTCAGGAGTAGCAACAGGTGTGCCTGTCTTGCCTTCTTGCGGAGCCTCCCGCACGCACGTGGGAGGGCATTCCATCAGGCTAGCCAAGGCTGCGGGCATTCATCTTCCTGGCTGGTGTTGGGATTTACCAGAAAGAGCCAGGTTCCTGGGCAGCCTGTTCACTGGAATGTGTCCTGATGCCCAGCAGGCTGTCCCCCTGCCCCTTTGAGGTGTCCTGCATGGGCCAGATGGGTTTTTTCCCCCCATTTCTTATTACAGTGTTGCAACCAGTCTGTGCAAAACTGCCCCCACACCTTGCTGCTTCCACTTTCAGGAAGCAGAATTGTGGGAGGGAACTTTGCAAGACTCCTGTGGCTTTAGATGCACAGCTGGCATTGATTTAAATCATGCAGGGTGTTCACATCTTAGTGGTAATGGCTTCTAGGCATTTGTAATTATTTTAAACACACACACGTACAACTCTTTGATTTCAAAGGATATTGATTGTTTTTCCTCTTATCTTCACATTTCTGTAAAACGCTTTGTTACGTTTTTATTCGTTCCTATCATTCCTTCTTTCAACTCTGAAGATAAGAAGTTCTTTATCTACATAAGCTCTTGTAACAAACAATGGTCCATTGTAATGAAGTTTCCCCTCCTTGGCTTCTTACATGGTTCTCATATGAAAAGTTTTTACTGTATGTAGTTAAACCAATGATGGTTTCCGTGTGATTTTCCCTTCATCCCCACCATCTTTATTTAAGCTTAGGAGCTCTTTTTCTCCCTGTGAAAAAATTTGATAACCATTTGCAGCTTTTATCTGTGTTTTTTTTTTTTTCTGGCAATACTATTGTACATTTTTGACTGTTCAACACTTTGGGAAAAA